CAGGGACACAAGACAGTGCTGAAAGGATAGAATGGGGGGTCGGTGGGACAAGGGTGTGTGTACTGTCTGTCTGCGGCACCCACATCCGGGCCTACTGTCATGGCGGATGTGTGTATCCAGTACATGGACTGACAAAGACCTCCCCAGGACTCTAGGGGGGACAGGAGCAGCCCCTCAGGCCTCTTCTCCTTGACTCTGTTGCCTAAAATCCGACAGGAACCAGAGTGTTCCCAGGCACGAACCCTAGCTGACTGGTCATCAGGCCAATGGCACTGCTCTCAGGAGGTGGCTCCCTCTGGCACAAAGTACCACTGGACTCCAGGTTATTTTAAGTTGAGTGAAATGCTGACAGCAGGCTTCCAACTAATGAGACGGTAGCAGGATTTTTCCCAGGTCTTCAGCCCACAGTTAGAAATTAGGCCTGAAAAGAAGGTCATTATGGAAATATGGGGCCTGTTTTCCAGAAGGTGATACTTTAGAAGCACGAAGAACAAATCATCCAGATAATATTTGTTTCCATGTGAAAGTGGTTGAGGGTGGCCCCCAGAGCTAACACATTTATTCTCAACCAGAGTGGGAGGGCAGCTGGGATGGCGGCCATGCTGGGAACTGGCCCTCACTCACTGTGCCCTTCCCCACACAAGGGGATGCTTCCCCCTGCCCAGGGCAGCCCCAGCAAACTGGGAAGCTTAGGAAGACTCCTCAGAGAAGGGACGCATGCACTGGGGGTGATGCTGGTTTCCCTGCCTCCCCTCTCTCCCATAGCAATGCCACCTATTCAGGTGCCCCGGGCCCTCATGCTTCCCCTGCCCCACAAAACTCCCCATCTTCCAAGAACCTAATCCACTGTTTATCTCTTAAAGCAAAATGAAAGCAATACACCCTCTCTCCCAGGAAGAATTTCTATTTAAGCTTTCTGTCTAGACTTTATATCCAATACTTCATTGAAAAATTAGAAGAAACTACATGCGCATGCGCGTGCACGCGCGCGCGCACACGCACGCACGCACGCACGCACACACACACACACGTGATTACCATAAGCTCAAGACTACTTCTAGGACTTAGAACTTACCCTGGCTAATTGGAGCTATACCTCCCTTCCATTGGGCCACTTAGAGGACCCCACTCTGGCCCTTCTCCAGCTGTGCATGAGAAATGAGTATGTGGGGCCAACGGATGCAGCCAGGGAGAGCCCCTCCTCCTTCACTTCCAGTCCCAGTGAGCTGGGAACCCACGATCCCCATATTTTCTCCCCACTTCCAGGGCCTGCACTGTCTTCCTCTGAGGGGCAGACCATGCCACTGTGTGCACCCTTGCCCAAGGGGTGGCCAAAGGACAGCTATTGGGGTGAAGTCTGAATAGAGCTTGGGTGTACGGATTAGGGTGTCTCATGGCATGCACCTAGAGTCCCCTGCCACCACGTTACTGTGCAGCACTCCTGAGAATCCAAGATTGCTAAATGTGGTTGCACATCATAGTTGTTAAAGTAAAGGGATAAACGATATTTTATTTAATGGTTTGTTAGCTTGATTTGGAACTTGGAAATATTTACACATACCCATATGGGCTCTTGTATGTATTCTTGTCCCAGGCTGAATGCGGTAGAGGAGGGTCTGATGTTGGGTGTGTTCTCTACACTCCAAAATCACAACAGAAGGAAACTTCAGGGCACAAAGGGAAGTAGAAGGGAGACAGAGTAAAGGCATTTTATTTCTGCACTGAATATAAAAATTTAAAATGTAGCATTGCATCAGGTTTGTTTTAAGGAAGAGATGGAAGGAAATATTCATGAAAAGAAAATGTTTTTCTTCTCAAAATTGGAGTGTGTGGAATGCTGTTGTGGCCAAAAGTAAGAAAGTGCTAGAGATGCAGAAATGTCAAAAAGACACAAGAGCAGCTTGAAGGGGCTCCCACTGGCCAAATGTTAGGCAATTTGAACATCAAAATAAACAATAAGACTAATAGATTATAATTCATTGAATAAAATAGGAATCCCCGAGTCCATACTGACATAAATAAATAACTGAATAAACATGGGTGGGGGGAGTTTTTCCTTATAGGAGAAAGCAAACCAAATGTGGAAAAGAGTTAGAAATTATCACTTGGCAGGGCACCTGCGTGGCTCAGTCCGTTAAGCCTCCGACTCTTGGGCTTCGGCTCAAGTGAGGTGTTGTGAGCTCAAGCCCTGCTTTGGGGGAGCCTGCTTGAGATTCTTTCCCCTTTCCTCTGCACACCCCCTTGCTCTCCCCTCTAGTCCCTCCCCCCTCAAGTAAATAAATAAAATCTTTAAAAGAACGAAATTATCACTTGGCAAACATTGTAGTAATGATTGAGTCAAGAACCATGAATGAGAGCTAAAGCTAGTAGGCTAAAGTTTAATGAGGAGCAGGGTATTTACACAACTTCAAGGTGTACCTTGACAAAGCATTTAGTAATTACAAAGGGAAAATGTAGTAAATTCACATTGGAGATAACTGGCAGGCCAGGTGATCCAAGTTAACGTCACCAGAAGGGGACACACCCACACGACGTGCCTCCTAATATGACGCGCTAGGGAGCCAACATTCCTTCTGTGCGGTTCCACCAAAAACATATAACCTTAATTTGATCATGAGGAAATCTTTGACAAACCCCACGTGAGAGACCTTCTACAAAGCAATTGGTCTGTACTCTTCAAAAGTTATAAAGGTCATCAGAGACAAAGACAGACTACAGACTGAAGAGGCATGATAACTAAATGTAATGTGTGACCATGGACTGGATCGGGGACCAGGTGTCTCTAGACAAAGGACCTTACTGGGTCCTTTTGGGGGCAACATATGAATGAGGTCCATAGATTCCAGTATCAATATAAATATCTAGATCTTTATCACAGTACTCTATTTATGTAAAAGGATATCCTTGTTCCTAGAAAATACACAGGGCAATATTTAGAAATCATGGGGCATCATGTCTGCAACATACTCTTAAATGGCTCTGGGAAAAAATGTAAAAAATATACCTGCATTTTTATATATGAGAGAGTGAAAATGACAAAGAAACTGTTAGGAATCTGGGTAAAGGGTTATACAAATTCATCCACTTCCCTTATCTCTGTGTCCATTACCATCCCTGACCCCCCGCCATTTCCAGACAGAGGAGCCAGCCCTTGCCAGTCTCTGTGATGGGGACAAACACTCTGCAGGAGTCTCCCTTCCCTGCTTCTGCCTGATCTGCTGAAGACCACAGGGATCCAGCCAGGTTTTCTAAAGACCTTCCTGAACATGGAGAAAAAAGTCCAAGACAAAGGAGGCAAACAATAGATGTGGGGATAATAATGAAACTGTAGCCCCAAGTTATAAACCTCTCTAATGACACCTCACTTTTTAGACTCGACATTTTATACATGTTCTTCCATTTTTTATCATAATCAAACAAAATGGTACATAGTACCATAATGACAGTAAAGCTCGGCCCCTTGTGGCATGCCTAATAATTTCCCTTTATCCAAATTTAATTAAGATAAAGTATATGATACCTCCATCTCAAATTGCTAGCATTAACACTTCCAATTTCCTATTTCTGGTCATTTTTGTACTACAAGGAAAATGTACTGCAGAGGGAAAGTTCGTGATGCTGCTGAAACTTGACTGTTGGCCGATGGGCAGCTTCATCAAAGGATGGCTCAAAATGTTTATTTATCAGCTGATATCTACAGGGTCAAATTTAGCATGCAAACATGGTTTAAGACCCAGTGACCAAGGCATGAAAGGGTGGGTCTAATGAAGACTGGAACTTACAAAAGGAAAATGTCCCATATAAATTGCTAACAGGTAAAAGCAAGAAGAACACTTATAAAAGCTACAGAGATATATTGTGATGCTCCTGACATGAGCCTAACAGACTTAGGCCCCCGCTTCTGTGCTCCCAATCCACCCTCAAAATCTGTACGCCCCTTACCATAGGAGTCACTGTAATTGTTAATTAACATGCATAAACACGCACGTGCACACACAAACAAACGCACACCATCACCCTCGTCAGACTCGGAATTCCTTAAGAAAAGTGATCATATTTTATCCTTTTTTTTTGGACCAGCTTCTAACACAGTGCCAGGTTCAGACATAGATGTCGAAAACAGAATCGTGGGATTAGTGAATTGTAGGAATCAATCATCCTATGGCCCACACCTGGGACCGGATCGTCGTTGCCACTCCTAGCCCGAGTCACTTTTCCAACGTTTACACAATAATTCACCTTGTCCCTCTTTATCTACCAAACATACAGATTTGGGGATTGAAAAGGCCAATGTTTCACAACCCTCAATACACTTACAGTTTCTAGACTGAAGAGAAATTTATTGACGTGTCTCAAATAAAGATGCTCTTGATGTGTTTTCTAACTAAGTGGAATCAGGAAGTCCCGAAAACCAGGCCAAAATGCAAGTTCAAGGTATTTTGGACCGAACTTGGTGAGGAAGCAATTACCTAATCTAGATAAGATATGACCTCTCAGGTTTGGAGGTCTCAATTATAACAAAGAAAATAAGGAAGCTATTTTCTCTATCACTAATGAAAAAAAATTTCAAAAACAATTTATAATAAGCTTAAGATTCTCCATCTAAAGAACTGGAGCAAATCATATAATTTGATAGCTGGAAATATACTCTCTAAAAGTCTCCATTTTACAAATGAGGAAATCTAAGGTACTGTGTCGATGAGTGGGTTTTACTTACTGGTGGGCGGGGGACCAAATCATGCAGCATAAAAAAGAACCATGAATCATGCACTAGAAGAAGATGGATGTGTTACTCTTGGTGTGGTGTCATTTACTGTTTGTGACACAAATACTGTCTTCAGATTGTTTGACACAGCCCTGGCCATTGGGAGCAACAGGACACACTGCAGACGAGCTCTGAGGAACCACAGGGAATTTTCCATACCTCTTTTATGAGGAGCTATGAAATTATTTATGGCTATGATAGATAAAGGAAGCAGCAAGGAGCCATTTCAACTGACCTCTTCTCCAACCATGGGAGGTAAGTAGGGCTTTCACATTTCAGAGTCGTGAAAGCATGACCGAACACATGCTGGGGGAATTTCTTCAGTTCAGCCTCCGTCATCTTTCGAAACCCCAGAACCACATCAGCCCAGAATGGCACTTCTTCCGTAGGAACGCTTCGGAATATCTGCCAACTCAAATACATAAGTGGAAAAAGTTCCTGAAATTTTGTGAAATACGTTTCCTGTGAACCCCACGTGACATTCTCTAAAGCATTTTAAAAACACACTTCCTGGGGCACCTGGGTGGTTCAGTTGGCTAAGGTCATGATCCCAGGGTCCTGGGATCAAGCCCTGCATCAGGCTCCCTGCTCAGTGGGGAGTCTGTTTCTCCCTCTCCCCCTGTCCCCCTCTTGTGCTCTCTCTCAAATAAATAAATAAAATCTTTAAAAATAAATAAAAATTAAAACATAATTCCCATACACATAAAAAGAAAAAGATCTACTCTTCCATTCTCTTGGGTTCAGGTAATTCAGCAGCTAAGTTTGAAATGTTCATGATTGAGGGGAATAAGACATTTAAAAGTTATGTTTTAAAAATTGGATTTAACGCTTTTTTTTTCCTAAAAAGCTATTGCTCAGACTTTTTTTATTGACTTATGATTATGCATTTTTGAGGAAAGGTTTTGGTGTCTTGTAGAACATTTTATGTAAGTTGTAAGCATCCATCAGAAGCTTAAAGGTTGCCCTCAATTCCAAACAAAATATCTAAATTGGAGTGAGCCATGGTGGGCGTAGAGGAGGCAGAGTGCGAATTACGAGTTAAGTTGTGGGTCATCCCCTCACGCTGTCAGTAAGAGAAGCTGAGTTGTCAGGAGGAGCCCAGTTACTGTTAGGCCACCAGCACGGCCAGGGTGGATGAGGCTGGAATGATACTGGTTGTTAACAAGCCAGTAATAGTGCTACTAATAACTGCTAAGCATGTGTTTGGATTTTCAAGTCTTGGTCTGTTTTCATCAATAGGAATAAGTGTTGTAAATCATGGCTGCTCTAAAATAGCAAGGAAAATCACTTGAGTGCTGTACATAGTTGCTCATGATGTGGTCGTTCACATACCAGAATTTATATATCTCTAAGGAATTCATTCGAAGGGGCCCCCGGGGAAGGTATGAATGCTGTTTGCTGCAGAGCTCCACACTGGGCCTTCTTGCTGTCTCCTTCTGCACACTCTCCCTGGGCTAGGTTGCCCCTTCTCTATCTTCACCATTGTCTACAGGCCAAACACTCAGGGGGCTAGGCCTCCAGCCCTCTTTTCTCTTCTGAGCTCCACAACCAGACCCAGACCTATGTTGACTTTCTCTCTCTCCCCATCCCACATGCCATCAACTGTCAAGTCTCAAGTCCCATCAACTTCTCAAATCCATCTACTCTCTGTCCCCACAATCAACACCTAATCGGTTGTACCACCATCTCTCTCTCTCCACACATCTGTTCTCCACACTACAGGCAGGATATTTTTGACATATAAACATGGTCAGTTACTTCAGTGTGTAAAATCTCAATGGCTTCCCATTACCCTGGATGTTTTTCATTCCCTCCAACACACCACAGTCACCTTAGACTCAGGTCTACGCGTATGCGGTTCCCTCTACCTGGAATGCCGCCCCTTATGTCCCTAACACTGTCTCTGTCCCCTTCACTTCTACAGTGTCACCAGACTAACCTACACTCATCCGGATGGTCTCTGCTGAAACATCACTTTGTTCCAGGTAGCTTCTCAAACTTCCCAGAGCAAGTTTATTCTCCAGTGATATACTTCCGTAGTGCCCTATACTCTCTTCTGTTGGTAACTCAGGTCTTATTTGCAACTAGTTAGATTTAGGACATTCCCTACGGACCATAAGCTATATGAGGGCAGGACTGTGTCTTTTTTTCTCAAAAATTAACTCAACATATATTTATTGAGTGTTTACTATATGCTAAGCAATGTATACTAAATGGTTCCTTATTATATCCCTAATACCTAAGTGAGTACCTGATACTGGTGAATGCTGAATAAATTGTTTTGAAGAAATGCACAGATGAACAGATGAATAAGGCTATACATTTATGCCAAAGATGCTCAAGGACATTTTTGCTCCTGTCTTCAGTTGACTGATTCAAATCTCTCTCTCTCTCTTTTTTTGTTTTTTTTGTGGAAGCAAGTGGGACAAGAATCACTCATGTGAAAGAAATAAATAACTCTCTTTTAGACCAGCTTGAAGTATATTCCTTTTAAGATCCTCGATGGTGGCAAAGTCTTAGTCTTGAAAGGACGTTTGAATTTTAGACACAACTGTTTCCAAAAATTACTTAGAGACAAAGTTTGTGAGTTAGATATGGTCACATTGGTTTTGGACAAAAACAAATTGTGACCATAAATCAAGGAGAACAATTTTTCTATGTGACTCATCAGCTAGATTTGGAGTTAGAGTATCAATTCATCTTCAGAAGGTAGAAAAGAAATGAAAGTTGCTACTTGTGCAGACTGTGGGAAATTAGTGACGTCAACACTATTAGTGATGGTGAGGGGGGGCAAGAAGAGGAAAAAGGTAGAAATCTGCCTGATGCAGGTGTGCTCACTAGCAGAAAATGTCAGCGGACAGCCTGAGCAAAAGAGGAGAGAGGACAGATTTTTCCAAACAGTACAAAAGATGCAGTGGTTTTGAGAACTTAGTAAAAAGCAAGCATCCCTCTGTTCTTCAGAAAGCTATGGGGCATTACTGTGTTATCACATAGGATATCACAGGTGACATATGTGTTATGTCATAAATTAAAGACATAAAAGTGACAGAACGATTAGTGATCTCTTTTAAAGAAGCTATAGAAAGATATTGTCATATTCTAAATGCTAGTCTGCACTAGATATGCCGAATAGGATTTTTTTTAACTCTTTCATTTAATTATGCGTGTCTCCTGAAATCAGATATTAAGAATCAAATAGAGGGGCACCTGGGTGGCTCAGTCGGTTAAGTGTCCAACTCTTGGTTTCAGCTCAGGTCATGATCTCAGGGTCATGAGATCAAGTCCTGCATTGCATCCGGCTCCACGATGGGTGTGGAGGTTGCTTAAGATTTTCTCTCTCTCCCTCTCTCTCTGCCCCTCCCCAAGCCCCCACTCTGCTCCCGCACTCTTGCCCTCTCTCTAAAAAAAAAAAAAGAAGAAGAAGAAGAAGAATCAAATAGAAATGTCCTAACCATTTCAAAAATATGGTTCCTAACTAGAGGGTATTATGCTAAACGAAATAAGTCAATCAGAAAAGACAAGTATCACATGATCTCACTGATATGTGGAATTGGACAAACAAGGCAGAGGATCATAGGGGAAAGGAGGGAAAAATGAAACAAGATGAAACCAGAGAGGGAGACAAACCATAAGAGACTCTTAATCTCAGGAAACAAACTGAGGGCTGCTGGAGTGGTGGGGGGTGGGAGGGATGGGGTGTCTGGGTGATGGACATTGGGGAGGGTACGTGCTATGGTGAGCGCTGTGAATTGTGTAAGACTGATGAATCACAGACCTGTACCCCTGAAACAAATACTACATTATATGTTAATTTTAAAAAAATTTTAAAAGAGTAGTCCCTAAAAATTGAAAATAACATAAAAAATATACTGTGTACCCAGCTGATGTAATAATCATACAAAGTGGTACTGATCCCAATAACTTTAAAGCAGAGTTACATGACTGTATATCCTTGTATGTATACCCTTAAGAAAAAAATATAAACAAAAGTTTAACTGTTATAATAATCATATTAATAACAAAAAATATGGTTTCTAAATGGCACTTCAAAAGGTAACTTTAGTTACCTACAACATTTCCTTTTTTGGGACATCTCATTCTCCAATATCACACCTATTGGCTTTCCATCAGCCACATGATCCATACATAGTCCAAGCTCGGTGCTTACCTGCTATCAGTTTTTTTAGCCATATTTGTAAATCACTGCATAATCCCTGAGGAAACTCAAAACAGTATTTGTGATGAGAAACTGTAATGGCTGTTTAAAAGTCTAATACTATAAGGATGGCTGGGTGGCTCAGTTGGCTAGGCGACCAACTCTTGCTTTTGGCTCAGGTCACGATCTCAGGGTCCTGGGATCGGCCTGGCATTCAGCTCTGTGCTCAGCATGGAGTCTGCTTGGATTCTCTCTCTCCCTCTGCCTCCATCCCTCCTCCTGCACACTCGCTTACTCTCTCTTTCTCTCAAAATAAATAAATAAAATCTTTTTTTAGAAGTCTAATACTATATATACTAATATATATAATTAATATACTAATAACTTGTCTTTCTTGACTTCTTTGGAGTAAAGCCTAAAATCTTCCTCTCACATCTAGTTCAGCATTCCGCTCACAGCAGATGCTCAACAATATTTCCCATATTGAATTCTAAAGTCCATTAAGATCATTCTAAATTCTAAAATAACTTCAGATTTCCTCTCTTACCCAGATACCAGATGAACACCAGCATCTTCAGCTTCTGCAGAACTGGCAATTGCAAATAGGTGATCAAAGGTCTCTCTAAACCACTGCTTCTGCTTGGGAATGGGTGTGTCTGTAACCACGGGGGAAAGCAAAGCGGAACAGAAAAAAAGTGGCAATGATAACTATGCTTCAGACAAGCCCCTTCCTAGAAACTGAGAGAAAATAAAGAGGCAGGAAGGAACATTTAGATAAGGCACTACGTTGTGGTGGAGATTCCATCAGCAACCAGAGTTTTGAATGTTGACACATGCTGTTGACTTCTGTTCATGTAAAGATTAATCATCAGAGGGTAAACTGGCCAATCAGGACAAAATCTGATATATGAACCATCTGGAAGGTGGTCTTTGGCACCAGATAATATTCCAGACCTTGACGGGTCCATAGCCAATCTGAGCAGAAGTTAGTTCAGGCTGAGGGAGGTATATCCAGCTGGCCCCACAGTTGAGACGATAGAAGAAAGAACCTAGAACCTCTTTCCTGGGGCCTGAAAACATGGTGGGTAACAAGGGAAGATCTGTGGGGCCCAGGGCAACCAGACAGAGAACAGATTATACATCAATAGGAAGCCCAGATTCCTTACCCTCTGATACAAGGAGACAAGGTTGTCATTGTGGAGCTGAGCTCCTCAGGAAGGACTTGCTGCAGCCCCATCCAAGGCTGCCATTGCCTCCATCCCCCTCCAATCCATGGACTCATGCAATAGCTTAGGGTAGCATTCCCTGGGTCACTAGAGCATGTAGGGACCACACTAGGCACCATGTCTCTGGCAGAGTCCTGTGGATCAGTGCTCCCTGTCAGCCGGGCATCCCCGCCAGAACACAAGAGGCTGGACCCAGATCCTATCAGAGAGGAAATAAGGGTCATGGTTCAAGCCCCAAAATAGTAGTGTCCAGTGCAGGCACAGAGAGCGAGCATAATCAGGAGGCGCTGACAAATCCAAATGGGGTGAAGAATTTGGCCATCTGATCCATAGGGAAAAGTCATGAGGGAGAATTGAGGATCAGGCTAGGGACTGGGGAACAATAATCCTGAGGGGCTGCTGTGGGCGGGGAGCCATAGAGGAGGTGAGGGAGTTGAGGCAGAGAGGATGCTGGGTAAACTCTGCCTGAAGAGATGTCCCTAGAGTTCATGGTAGAGATGAAAAGGCCTCTGGAGACAGCCTGCTCCCCAGAGTGCCCAGGTCAATGAGGGCATTTCAGTAGCAGGGTTTTATAACAACTTATAACAAGAGTGCCAATAAATATTTCTTTAATGGTGGATCTGTGCTGTCGTCCTTAAACACGTGCCTGTGTGAACTCACCACTGTCTTCCAAAACTGCAGACTGGGCCACTGGCTTAGAAATAAGGAAGGAATAATAAGCTGCAAAAAGAGCTAAATTAGACCTCACATGAATTATATCCCAATGATCTAAGCCAGTGTCTGGGGCTGTATTGAAACGCATCCCTCTGTTCCCATTTCAAGCCTTAACAACAAAATAGTGGCTGCAACTCACATGCTGTAGGAGTCATCCCCAAAGAATGGACAATCCCAATTCAGCAGTGGATAGCACAAGCCAGCCTGGTGATCTAATTCATGTTCAAGCACTGCTAAGAGAAAACTGTAGGTGGAGTAATGGTAATAATCGCGATTGTTGCTACAGCACTTACCAGGCACTGTTCTGACTGCTTTATGTGTATTAACTTATTAATCCCCCAGCAACCCTGTAGAATAGGTGTGGTCCCCATACGGTACTGACATTTATGAGCACAGAAGATATCACTGTTATCACTGGGGTTGGTCTGAAAGAAGCCCAAAGAGAAGACTGAAGTCCTTATCTGGAACACCAGAGTGAGGCACTCTCTGATCCAGGGGCCCCAACCACCTAGCTGAAGAGTGAGATCAGGCCTTGATGGCCTGCATGGACTCTTAGATGAGCCTCCTTCGCAGATGATTCCATGACCATCACGCAGCCTTCTGACCACTCACCCAGGGCTGGTGCCAGCCAAGGGGTTCCTGGACAATGGACACAAGAACTCTGGTCACAAGAAAGGTGTCCAGAAAGTGTGCACTTGCATTCTACAAATACACCAGGTTCCTGAGCTTATTTCCTGTGCACATGTAACTCTGATTTAAAATAAAATAAAATAAAATAAAAGCTAAAATTAAAGCGGGGGGGGGAGAGTAGAAATGAGGAAGTGGAGACAGTGAGCATAAACCTCATTGGCTACAAAATGGTTTTGGTTTTTATTTAATGCCGTTTCCCTCCTCCTTCTATTTCATGTGAAGAATACCGAATGGAAAGCATGTGTAAACATGTTTTTAAAAAAATCAATGCATCTTTAGGCCCGAATACATATGACTGATTGTTTGTATACTGGCTTAGAAGTGAGGATAGTTTTAGTCCCACTACAAGTAATTTCTGAGCTGGTGGTCATGACTGGTATCGGTGGAAAGCCTTAGAATTACCAGTTGTGGTTGTCATGAGTGCTCTTCACCAAATACTTCTGGCTGGCTGCCTTCTGGGAGCCTTAGAGAACTGGACTTCCTGGCCACCTTCAGAGGGGTGGGAGCAGGGGACTAGTACTGGCCAACGACCTGTCATCAGAAGTGATGAAAGTTGCTTCCTGGCCAGAGCCTTTAACTGCTAGGGTGAGACCCCCCTCCCCCAGAGCTGTCTCCCCCCAGGCACAGGTACTGATGACATCCAAGACAGCAGCTACCCAGCCACTTAGGTCCCAGGTGATGAGCAGAGCCCTTGCTGCTGCTCAATTGACATGTGCTTCGAGCCAGAAACGAACCTTTGTCTTTTAAGCTGCTAAGGTTTGGAGGTTGTGTTTGTCCTGCAGTGTAACTGAGTCTTTGCTAACAGATGAACCAGGAAGAGGTTAAAATTGAGCATTACAGGGACATGCATATCCAGCTTTCCTTGTCCACAGAATGTCTGTCATATCTGACAGAGGAGCTAAAATCCCTGTCTTACCTGCATAGACATGAGGAATAAGCATGCCAGCTGCCACATCGCTTGTGGTATCAGGAGTGAACTTGTCTGAAATGACTGTAATGGAGCATCCCGGGACCAGTTTGGAAACACACATGGCGGTAGAGAGCCCCACCACGCCTGCCCCCACAACTGCGATCCGTACTGGATCCATGGGCCTGGGAGGAGAGAAAGTGTGAGCTATAAACCTTGTTTAAGGGTTCTTCCATCAGTACAAGGCCTGGCTTTGAGGACTCTTTCCTTAGGTCTCAAAATGAGGTCTTTCCCATCAGCATTTCTCATGGGATAAAGAGAGCCCCCTGTAAGCTCTCTTTCTGCTAAATGTTGGGGTATAGGACAACAACGTCTCAATGGAGTTTTAGACATTAGCACAAAACCAGCCTGAAGTTGCCTTTAAAGCACACTACAGGTAAATGGGTTTGTACTGGGTGGGGGGCAGGATTTCTACTCATTCTGCCCCTTCCTAAACCACGTTTCCTGTGGGCACAGCCTGGGAAGCTTGGTGAAGTCCGCAAGGTGGACAAGAGCAGTGGAGATGCCATCTCTCCTCCCAGAAACCTCCTAGGAGCGGCCACTGAGAGGGCACGACCCGTGGGGCAAATTTGGAACTCAGCTCTTATCGTTTACAAACTGGTTTTTAGTTACAACAACGAGACAAAAAGTTTGAACTGAACCCTGCGTTCCCCTCTCCTGCCCCTCTAACTGGAAACCAACTCTCCTCTCCTCTCCCCTGCCTCTGTCACCGCTTTCCCACCCCACACCCCTCATCCCCCCCAGCCCCCGTCCCCCAACCCCCGTGCCTGAACCTGGATTCCTTCCTGCGGACTCAGGTGCTGATTCAGTAACGGCGGTGGGGGGGAGGGGCGCACCTCAGGGCCTCCTAGCCTCAACTCCCTCATCTGCAAACCAAGCCATGTGAATTCTTTATTAGCTCCTTTGGGCTGGAAATAAGAGAGACCCACGGAGGTTATCTCACAAAGGTAGCTCCTTCTGAGAGTCGGTATGGAAATGCAGGAGGCGGACATCCAGAAGCCTGAGACTGGCACCCAACCTGGGAACTACAGGGTTGATGAGGGCCGGACACCCTCCCTCCTCCTCACCACTGAGCAGCAGGGGCCCGCAGAGCCTCGCTCAGCTGTCAGCTTCCCCACCCACTGTTGCTTTCCTGCTTGTCTTTCCACTTCTGTTCCCACTCTCTAACTCTCTCTGTGGGTCTCAGGCTGAAACTCCAGAGAGAGAAAATGCAATTATTCCAGTTGGCCAATGTCATCTTTATCAAAGTTCTAGTACCAGGTGAGCTCACTGGGCTAAGCCAGCCTACAAATGTGCCTCTTGGCACGGTTGCCCTTTCCTGCAGATCATGGCTACCTGCCCATAAAATTCACCTTTCCCCTGGAGGGCGTTGGGCAGTTCTGCTGTGAGTGGGGCAAACATGGCGGAGCTCAGCCGTCAGTGGTTTCTTCCAGCTCTGACAGTCTCTGGCTCCATGATAATTTAAAGTCCTCCAATGAGGTTTAATGAGTGTTATTTCTATGTCTCAAGCAGTATATGCATTTCCTCAGCCATTAGTTAATCTGCTTCCTCCCTAGTGGGCTGGCTAGCTGAGAAGGAACAGGATTGCCGGTGCAGAGGGAAGGGTCTGGGGCAAGGGAGAGACCAGTGGAGGGGTGGGGGCAAGCTGGAAGAGCATAGCCCCACTCATGTCCCCTGGAGGAAGAAGGCACCCACATATCCCCTTGCTGGCTTTCCTATTTCACAGGCTCCGCTGCCCAGCAACTTTCTCAAAATAGCTCTAATAAATTAAGTTGAGAGGGAAAGTAATCTGTGGCTGAGAACAACCAGCTGCCAGGGAGGAGAAAATTGAGCCAGCAAGGTGGGTACATCCTGGCCCAGTGACTTGTGAATCACAGTCACCTGATCCCATTAAGACAGCCCCAAGCCCCCAGAGTACGTATAGAATGACCCCTGAGCTGCAAACAGAAGGATTCAAGTACCTGTCTCTGAAAAAGCGGTCTTGGAACCCACAGAAGGCTCTGGCATCAACACTTGTTTTCCCAGTGAGTGCTTGGTCAGGTGCCCTGAGAGACAGAGAGAAAGTAAAACTGCTTCCCATTGGGGAGTTTAATAAGGACACTTCTTCTAATCTTCCTCTCCATTGGCCCATACCCCCGTGTCTCTGTAACTGAGTTCCCTGGAGAAAGGAGGGATTAACTTCATTTTGTAAGCTCCGTGGAACTGTGGGTCTGCCGAACCCCTGGGAGCTGGTCCACCCTCAGCAGCCATTCTCCTTCTAGTTTACAAACCTCTCTATCTTGCCACCAGTCTGGGACTTCTCCAACTGATTGGTAGGCATGGTAAATAACAGGTGAACTTGTTCAATTTCCAGCAAGTTCTGGCCAGAAGCCACACTGGTTTCTTCATTTGTCTCTTCTGGGTCAGCGGGTTGGGGCAGGAGTGGGGGTAGGGTGAGGGCAGAATAGTGTTGTGGATCACTAAGAAGACGGCCTGATTGCAGCTGGAAAAATTACTCAGGAGATAATCAAGGATAAAAACCAAATGATTCTTTAGTCCAGAGACTGAAAAACTTGTTGAGTGTCCACCATGTGGTAGACACTTGAAAATTACGAAGTTGTTGATGGGGAAGCAGTCTGATGAATCAAAATAATAATGATAGTGTAACTAATATGTATTTAGCATTAATCATGGGCTACGTGCACATATGACACATATAACACAACCACCCTCTGAGGTAGTGAGATACTATTATTATCCCCATTCTATAGGTGGGAAAGTTGAGGCTCCAAGAGAATAAGGAAGAGCCCAAGGTCTCCTAAGTAACAAAGCCCAGTCTGAGTGTCAGACCCCAAGGCTCAATGTCTTAACCAAAGTGCACACTTTGGCATCGAGACGTGTCTGTTTTACCTGAGCAAGTCACCTAACTTCTGAGTTTTGATTTCCCTTTTTGAAAATTGGGAATGAGCTAATTTCTCTTATAAGTTGTTGTAAGCATCTGCTGAGTTAAAATATGTAACATTCTTTGTGAGTGTGGCATATACATTTTATCAAGCACCTGCTATAAAATCAACCAACATTTATGGAGCACGTGCTCTGTCCAAAGCATGCTTCAGGGACTACAAGAGATTTAACGATTTCTAAACGGATGTTTTCTCCCCTCAAGAATGGAAACAAGGCAGAGTAAGACAGTCCTTTAATATGTAGCAGTTACTGTAGGTGATGTGGGGGCTCAGAGAGAGGGAAGCATGGTGGACCCACGTGGCCAGTCCAGGAGAGAGGATGGGAAATGAGGAAGGTTTCAAAGAATCAGTGGGATGTGGACGGACAAAGAAGAGGAGGGAGAGAATTATCACGAGGGAGGAAAGGGTGAGCAAAGTCACAGAGGCAGGAAGTTTCAAGAGAGCTGAGGAAACAGCCTGTGTCTCCATGGGGAGGTACGCGTGAGAGCAGAGGGTGACATCTGACCAAGATGGAGGACACCATTTGAAAAAGCAATGGGAGCCATGGAGGATACCTGAGAATGCCCCTTAATCCCTGCCCAGGGCAGGACTCTATTTCCCTCTGAAAGCAAGAAGAGGAAACATTTAGAAATGAAACCAAGAACACAAGCTGTGTGTATAAAGGGCTAATAGGTCTTTTATTTTTTGCTCCACAGGACTGTAACCATATCACTTGAAAGAAGGGTCATTTGGAAAACTGAATTAGGTTATCTTTGAGGGTGGGAGTAAAAGGGAGATCTGGGGCCATCTAGTGGGGTCTTGTTTTATCATTTTATAGGCAAGTGGCTGAGGTCCAAAAAATTGAAAGGACCCCCCGCCCCCCGCCACTGAGAGTGCAGGTGAGCTCAGTGTCACACTCCTCCCCAGGAATTTTTCAGAGACTTTTTACCGCAGGCTCTGGAGCTCCACAAGGCTTCCCTTGTGCTGTGTATTGGAGGCCTCCCTGGTCCCACAGCCCCTCCTGCTCTGCTCTCCATGGGCGTCGATGGCTTGTGATGTGTTAGACTTGCTAACTCGCTAAATTGTGTTAGTCCGCCAGTAAATAAAGAGCCTCAGACCAACAGAACTTGAATGTTCTAGAAGGATATTAAGGAAGCAAGGCTCATGGGGCCAGGGATTCAGCCATGTAGGCTACAGGTTGGGGTAAGGAAACAGGGAAGGACTGAGCTCAGGGTGACTTGATTCTCTGATATATTGGCTAGCCCTGACTCGAGACACGGGAGTAGGGCAGAATCTATAACTGAACCTTTTCTCTCTGTAAAATAATTTGACTTTCAAGATTCATTTACTGGAACATCCATGAAAATCTCCTGATGGGGTAGGTAAGCCTAGGGAGAGGCAGGGAATGGATAAGGAAGATGAATTTACTTAGGGAACTAACAGTTGTCAGTAAATACTCGTGCAATGTGGACTTTAGAGATAAAACAAGCAGCTGTTACTGACTTCTGGCAAATTCAGATAATTCATCTCTGTTGGGGCAAGTTACCATGGACTCTGGCGTCCGCGGTCAGCTTAAACAATCTTGAAATAGAAAATATTCCTCTTCACCATCTACAGGAATTTATGAAGTACCCCCTTTGGATATGTCATTTTAGAGACTAAACCCTTTGTGTTTAGCATGCTTTCAGTAAGTATTTGATAAGCATGAGAGAAAGGCCACAGAATACATTCAGAGTATATTTTCAATATGAACTTCCCGAACAACACAGTGATGGGAGGAGGGGCAGACTCAGCTTTTGTGGGGCCTGAAATTTATACAGTTGTTTGTTTGTTTGTTTGTTTGAAGTTTATACAGTTTTCAAAGTCCTCTATAAGAAAAAAATTTACAAAATCATGAGAGAAAAAAATGCCTCTGGTCACTTTGATATCATCTGACAGAGGGGAAACGTGACAGGGGAAACGTGACAGAAGGAAAATAGAGCGGACAGAGACAGTGGTCTTAACTGATTGCAGTGGATTTATCTTACTTTTGCAAAATTTACAAAATTTTACAAAAACGTCTGACCAAATGAACCCATTATGGAGGTCTCTCACAAGAGCCTGTGTGAGGGAGGGAAGCGAACCTGAAGTTCATGCTCTTTGGGCTTCAGAGGAGGCGTTCCCTACAGCTATTGTGAGCCAAAATCAGTCGCCAGAACAATCTGAATTGCAGAGTCCTCAAGAGAGAAACAGCACGTGCTGGAGGGCACAATCAACCCAGGACAGTGACAGCGTGCTGTCATTGACGGAATGGGCCTCCAACGCCTACTGGCCAAGACCAAGACACACTCCCTGCCCGAGCGGTGGAATCATCTACGGAGCAGAAACAGCATCAGAGCTGGATCAGGGTGGATAGGTAATGTAGATACAGTATCTCATCTTCACAGTCCCGTGAGGGACATCTTATTTTCATCCTGAATTTTTACATGAGAAGGCTAAGATAAAGAGAGGTTAATTTGCCTAAGCGGGAGGGCGTTCTTCCCCCCACTAGCCTCTACCACCTCTCACAATAACTGCCTGTTGAAGTCAGGTGGATGCCTAGACCTCCGCTGAACCGATCTGGTGACAAGGTCACCTGCCTCAAGTTCACCTACTTGTGTGTGGCTTGTTCTCTGAGCTTCCCGGTGCCCGGTGAAGTACTCCTTGAAATATTTACAACTAGAGACAGATCTGATGTGCCAGGACTTGGTTCCAACTATTAAAGATACCTAACATCACTATTTTTCAGGTATAAAATCAGAAGGCTGTGCCTAGTGAGAAATGCTTGAGGAACAAAGTATGTTTGGCTTCTTGTATGACTAATATTTGTAATTGTTATGATGAAAAGCCCATTTTTTTCCCAATACAGCTTTTTTTTAATCCCTACTGATTTAAAAACATTTTTTAATTGAGTTTGTTAGATATAACAACAACATACAAAAACCAATCACCTTCCTTGATGCCAGCAATAAGCAGTAGAAAATATATTAGAAACTCAGCACTGCTAGTAAAAAATATATATACCCAAAAGTAAGTAGAATAAGAAATGTGCATGCTTTGTGAATTGCACTTCATTGAAAGACATTAAAGATAACCTGAGTAAATGAAGACATAACTCATGAAAATGGATGGAAGAGTCCATACCAGGAATAAGGTAAATTTTCCCTAAATTAATCTAAAAATTCGACTCCATTCAAGTTGAAACCATGCCGGGCAGTTTCCGTAGCATCAGTGGGAGTGTGGGCTCCTGGGTTCCTGGTCAGCAGCAGAAACGTGATTTCTGCATGTGCAGTGGAAGCCGAGAATATAGGCTTGGGGGCTCCCAGCCCAGTGGGGGCAATGGCTTCCTGGCCTCTAGCTAACTTCTCCTTCTCCATTTTGTTCCACCAGTCTTCCCCACACTGTTGTAACTAATTCCCTGTATTAAATTCTTCTATGCCCGAAATAGCTCGGCGGGTTTCTGTTTTGCTGACTGGACTCTTACTAATACAGAAACACGTACATGGGTGCTACAGACTGAACGTTTGTAGGGTCCGACGAGGCGGAAAGAGCGGGGTTCTCGTGATGGGATTAGTACCCTTCCGAGACACCAAAGAGCTCTCTCTCTCTCTCTCTCTCTCTCTCTCTCTGTCTCCTCCCAGCATAGGCACAAGGAGGAGGTCAAGCGAGCACACAGAGAGAGCCTGGCTGCCCGCAAGGCAAGAAAGAGGCCTCAGGATGAAATCTACCTTGCAGCCATCCCGATCCTGGAGCCTGGAGCTTGGAGCCTCCAGAACTGTGAGAAGTACATTTCTGTGGTAGAAGCCCCCGGGGCCGTGGTATCTTGTGATGGCCGCCTGAGCAAACTGATACGGATCGTAAAAAGAAAGTCAAGAAAATATCAAAGATTAACTAAGAGGAAAAATCTAAATATCAGTAGAAAAACAGGCTGAAGAGAAAGGAAAAAAAAGAAAAAGAGACACAGTAAGAGGTGAGAGGAAGGATAAAGAAATATCTCCCTCTCATATCCTCCTGTTGATTTGTTTTCTTTCACAAAGGGAGAGAGGTTTGGGGGGTTATTTTTTGTTTGCCAAGTGAAGAACTGAGGAATTATCCAGGGAACTGAATTAATATAAAAAGCCTAAATAATTCAAGTCAAATCCCTTATCTCCTCTTAGTAATGCTTTTTATTTTTTATTTTATTTTTTAAAAGATTTTCTTTACTTATTTGAGAGAGCAAGACAGAGCAGAGAGAGAGAGCACAAGCAGGGGGAGGGGCAGAGGGAGAGGGAGAAGCAGGCTTCCCGCGGAGCAGGGAGCCCAACACGGGGCACGATCCCAGGGCCCTGGGATCATGACCTGAGCCGAAGGCAGAGGCTTAACCGACTGAGCCACCCAGGCGCCCAATAATGCTTTTTAAACAATTGTATCTATATAGTTGTCTTAATCCTCCTTTTACTTGCCTCTGCTCCAAACACTAATGCTTCATCAATTCTAATATGTTAGACATAGGCATATCCAACAGCTAAATTTCAAGAGCAAAGAAAGAAATAATGATGAAACCGTAGGAAAGAAAAATCCCAAACCTATGGCACACTTGTCTGAAATGTGTTCCTCTAACAGGTAAGATAATGCCATAATTTTGCTGTTGAAATATTCAGGATATTAAGGTGAACACATGTGCAAAATATGGTTTTAGGTGAAGTTGGGCAAACAAAATTTAGTACTTAAAAAAAGAGTGAAATCTTCCCGTAAAAAAGATTTTTCAAGGCAAAAGTACTTAATTTTGTTTTCTTTTACATTGGTAACAGATCCAAATGGTACTTAAAGTCAGTTTCCTGGATGATCTGCAAACAAAAATTTTGCAATGCACTAAAATGCCACAGCTTCTCTATACTGTGCAGGAGACTTAGGGAGAGAATTTGGCAACTTTAGGCAAGATAAGAATGTGAGACTAGAAAGCTCACGCCTGGCCCCGAGCAGACAGGTGCCCTTTAACCGGACCTGACACAAAGCACATCCGTCTGCTCATTCAGGGCCTCTTGCCTCAGGGTGCGGGGAAGCAAGTACCTTTTTCTGTAGCTATTATTTTTATGGTTAAATTATGAAGACAAACATTTTTTGACAGGACACATTTTTAAAAGATTTATTTAAATGAGAGAGAGAGAGAATCTTCAAGCAGACTCCCCGTTGAGCGTGGAGCCCAAAGTGGGGCTTGATCCTACGACCCTGAGATCACGACCGGAGCTGAAACCAAGAGTCAGACGCTCAACCGACTGCACCACCCAGGTGCGCTGACTGGGCATTTCTGAATAAAATTTGAATTTAGAGCTATGATTCTCGTAAGAGGAGAAGGAATATCAGAAATAGAATCTTCAAGGGGCTTTGTTGAAAGCTCCCATGCCCTCTCTTCCCAGTCCCCGGGGGCAGGGGGACCCTGGTCCTGATGGGAAGGTGTGATATTTTCTCGGGCCTGCATGGCTGGCTGGAGGCAGGGGGACGGTTGAGAATCAATAACATTTAAGAACAAATAGGGAGAAATATTTTATAGCAGTAATAAAGCAGTGTAAAAAAATGAGAATTCTCATCTTGGTTTTATTTCTTTTACCTTTACAAAACAATTGTTTTAAGATTTTCTTACAAAAAAAATTTTAAAAGACATACAAATGACATTCAGGAGATGAGAATAATATTCCTCTAATACAAAGTCATTAAAGTAAACACAGTACATTTATTCACCAAGACCAGAAACCCCCGAGTCAATGACTTCCATTTTTTCCAACGCGGTATTTTTGGTTGTGGGAAATAATTTGCCTGAACTCTCTTTTTCTGTATCCTGTTTGGCAGCCTCCTCCCAAGTCGTTGCCAGAGGCATCCCCATGGTTTCTGGAAGTATTAGCGATAGCACTCCACTTACGAAGGCCAAAATCCCAACAAGCAGCTAGAAGGAATTAGAAGAACAATAATAAGTGACATATCAATAAAGAAATGTACCCTTCAGAGAATAATAATTCCTGAACCTTTTTCAGAGGGCAATAACATTAAATTGGATGCAACAGTTGTCATTTTTACTCCCCGGGGAAACCTTGGGTTACTTATGAGGACCCGCAGGATCGCCATTCGTTAATTTATTCACTGACCACCATGGAGACCTACTCAGTAAATCCCAGTTAGTGTCTAGATTAGTGCTCTTGCAGGCACTATCCTAGGAGCTGCGCAGAGAAAAAAGTCCCTGTCCCATCTTCTCAGACCCCAGAGAAACCCAGCAATTGAAACTTGGGGTTGGGACTTCATGGTCAGAGACTATCTTAGTCAAACCTGTCCCTGCCCCCCAAATCGGTACATGATCAATATTCAACAGATGACACAGATGAATGAATGAATGAATAAATGAATGAATGAATGCACAAACGAATGTTTCAATGAACAAAAACCTACAGAATTTAGGGAGAACCAAACAAAGGCAAATGGAAACTAACTGCTACTTTGGGGGGTATGGGTCCACGTGATTTCCTAAAAAATTCAGTACTTCTTTACTTTCCAAATTTTCACACCAAAAAGGCAACCTTTTAGATTAGCACCAAGGTGTCTGCCCTTAAAAATGCAAATCACATTATCCCAATTTTACCTCAATCTAAAAAACAGCAATTCGCATTAAGAATTAAAGTCTGCATATCTATTCTCAGTTGATCCTTATGAAGACCCTGGGTGGATTCTAGAACTAAATCTCTACACAGTCTATAAAAGTGAGTTCCATCCTTACATAATTTAAATGCTTCCAGCCAAAATTACTGTCTGGGAAGAGCCCATGAAAATAAAATAAGGCATGGTTTTCCTGACAGATCTACACACTTGGTGCTTTTACAACCTCGGAGAAGGAGAAACCCACAGCATGCAGTGCCTCGGTGGCCTGATGCAAGGCCCCAGTTACACGGGACCCGGGAAGACGGGTTTTTATTTTGTTTTTTGTTTTGTTTTGTTTTGTTTTTAAAGATTTTATTTATTTGACAGAGAGAGACGCAGTGAGAGAGGGAACACAAGCAGGGGGAGTGGGAGAGGGAGAAGCAGGCCTCCCACTGAGCAGGGAGCCCTACGTGGGGCTCGATCCCAGGACCCTGGGATCACGACCCGAGCCGAAGGCAGACGCTTAACGACTGAGCCACCCAGGCGCCCCGGGTTTTTATTTTGTTTTGCCGAACGCTGATGACCCTAACTTTTAGAAATACTTGAGCAAGCCTAGAAGCAGTCACAGAATTTAAAGCAACATTCCAAAGGACGCCTAAAGGCCTCTTCCGGTGCTTCCAGACATAGCAGGTATACCTACTGAATAAGTCTAAACAAGAACTAGAATCACTGGAAGGACCAAACCAGGACTGGATTTTTCGTTTTGGCTTGGCAGTGAGAAGGATAGGCAGGACACAAACCCATCACCCTCCACCTCCCTCCTCTCTCTCAGCATAAGACCTGGTCTCCTGCCACCCAGCTAGCTCCCTCCACCCCCTCAAGCATCCTCACAAGCCCCTACCCCTCGTTCCCCACCTCTCGCTCCCCCTTCACCCTCTCCAGACCCCACTGCTTCTCACCTCCAAGGGCTGGCGGGGGGGGGGGGGGGGGGGGGGGGGGGTGTTTTGGGGGGGGAAGGGTTCCTCTATCAACAGCCCTCCCTCCTCCTCACATGTTTTTGACCTTTTCCTTTCTACCAGTTACTTTCCTTCAGCAAAAATAACAGTTCTTATAATCTCCGTGCCCACTCCGCCTGGGAACTTGTTTCCTGCTACCTGTGTGAACTTGGTTACTTAAACTTCCTGCTCCTCAGTTTTCTCATCTGTAAAATGGAAATAAGAGTAGTACCTGTCTCAAAGGATGGCTGAACGAATTAAATTAAATGACCCATCTAAGGCACTTAAAACAGTACCTGTCCACACGGTAAGTGGTCGATAAATGGGACCCTATCATTCAAAGAAGCCAGAGAGGCCCCCAGCCTCGGCCCACGCCGCCCAAGTTGCTGGCCCGTCCGTGGGCCCTCTCCCGCCGTCCACAGCAGCTGCTCTTCCCAGGCCACAGACTCCTAGCTGCCGAACCCAACAGACCCTTTCCTGGCCTATTCCTTCTCAGCTGCCGTCCTCTCCCGCCGTTCTCGCCTCCTCTCCTGCTGCGGGGTCCTGGTCACCTCCCCACCTCCCTGGCTGCAGCACCTGGGCCCTCCTTCCATCACACCTAAAATGCCATCTGCCCTTGAGCCTGCTCACCCCCCTTCACCGCTTCATAAACCCACTCCCACACTCACTCCTGTGCCCTGAGCTCCAGACCCGGAGAGGCAGCTGCCTCCCAGACGCCTCTGTTCGCCGAGCGGCAGGGGCCTCCCACTCACCACACACAATCCCAGTGCACTGTCCTTCCCCAGGTCAACCTGTCCCTCCTCCTGAACGGCTCTGGCACCCCCCCCCCCACACACACACACTCCCTACCTGCAGCACACCCAGCTGGTCACCAGGTCCTGTGGATGCGACTTTTCCACCCTGTTGTCTCTAAGTCACCCTTAGCACGAAGGCATTTCCCTTCTGACCTCCTTTGACATCCCTGCCTGTTTTTCTAGATGATTCCTGACTTCCGTAACCCACCCTGGTGTTAGCAATGAGCTGGACCCCAAACCCAAACTGGCCCTGTTCCTTTTTCCCTGTAAGCTTTTGCCTTCCTGTTCCCCCTGCCTAGAATTCCCTTCTCTCTTTCTCCTCTGGCTGATTCTTACTGGCCCTTCCAGACATAGATTGAAGGTCCCCTCCTCCAGGAAGCCTCCCTCTGGCCCTAGCATGGGTTGGTAGCCCTCTCCTATAACCCAGAACCCTAACTTTCCCCATGTACAGCCCTCATCTCTGGGGCTCGGGATGGTTTGCTCTTCCGCCTTCCCCACCACACTGGACAGACGTTTCTCAAGACAGAGGCTGTTTCTTTCATCCCTGCTCCGTAGCACCTAACAAGGAGGTTCGTTAAAAAACAACACTCAGTAAGTCTTTGCCAAACTCACTGAAGAATACAAAACTGATAGGCATTACCGTCCACTTGTTCTTTAGATTACTCAAAAACAATGGTTGATAATAAAAGCATCAGAATGAGTGATTTTCACGTGCTTCTTTTTGAAAGAAAAAAAACACAAACTTATCTTCTAGATCAGCATTTCCATTCCTCCAAATGAAAATATTGGCTCCCCAGGAAGTTTGACACCCATAAATAAGCTTAATGAGAAATTTTATAATTTATTTTCTTACTCATTAAAAACAACAAGCAACATCTGTCGCATCCAGAGGGAGGATATTCACAGAGTATCTCTGCAAATATACACAAGACCCTGCTGACAGAGGTTGTCTTGGGGAAAGGGGACTGGGGCACTCAGGGTCAGGGTGGAGGACCTTATTTCTCTGCATTCCCTTTTGTACTGTTTAACCTGTGTGAAAGGCATGGTATTTGGGTTTGAATCCAAGTTCTGTCACCTCTGAGACGACCTTGGGCTACGAATTACTTTCTACACATCAGTCTCCTCATCTGTAAAATGAATCTGCATTCTATGAAGACCGTTTTTTGTAGTTTAGCATAACAAGTGCTATTTAAGTACCTGTTAAATAAAATTTAAAGTCCCTTTTGACTCCATAGCCCCTAATTGACTATTATGGATGTCTTTTTTTCTTTTTCAAAATCTTTATTTTGCTTTAGTATTTTTATAGCAGTTTGCTTTTATAGATTTATCTATCTTCTTCTGTGTGTTTCAGCTTATTGGTTTCAAAAACGCCTTTTCCACTTTTACCTCCTATTTATTTAATGAAGAGCACAAAGAAGATGCTTCTAGAAAAGCCCATGCCCTAAAAAGGATGGTGGACTCTCCAAAAACACTTCCCTGTGCAGGCCAGACAGCACGTATCATTTCTCTACCTCAGTCAGCCCCTGAGAGATGCTGGCATCCCAACACTGCAATTAAGCAAACTTGACCGAGTGCCTGTTACTGGGACGTGAGAGAGATCCAGGCTAAGCCAATGATTCCCAAAGAGTAGGTGCACACCACCTGTGTGTGCAAGGTGATTTTTAGAGAGCACCACACGCTTTGTTCTATGGTGAGATCTCGTTACTTTAGAAAAACATACAACTAGCATAACACCCATGATTTCGCTGATGATATTGCTGAAGACAAAGCTAATTTTAAAAAGCCAGTCTAGTTGATTTAAAATACCAATTAAGTGATAACATGAGCGGCACACGGAGAGAGGGAAATGCTTTGCCGGATACGGTCGGGATCCCAAGTGCCCTGTCCTGCCAGAGTCCAACAGCTTAACGAGGGGGACAAAGACACACGTGCAGACCATAAAGCCGGACTGTGGCTCCACGTGGGCTGGGAAAGCAGCACACGAGAAATGCTACGCAGACTGTGCGGAAGGGAGACGTGGGGGTGTGCGATCCGGGTGTCTTTCTCAGAGAAGTGGGGTTTGCTCTGTGTCTTCAAGATACATGCAAGTTTAGCAAGGGGAGATGGAAGAAGGCTTCTCTGCAGAGGGGATGAGGCACAGGAGGAGGGGGGTGCAGCGGAGAAGGAAGTGGGTGACGAAGGGAAAGAAGACAGGGGCGCTCTGCGGGGGTTCCCTCTGGAAAGGACTTCAACATCCAGCAGGGCTCAGATTTTCTTCTACCCTGAAGGTGACGTGGCAGGCGGGCCAGAGCTGTGGTGTGGCAAAGTCTTCTGCTGGGGTGGGGAAGAAGCACAGGGAGAGGATGTGGGAGGCAGAAGGTGGGGGCCGTTGAACTGGAAGCAGGCAAGCTGGGGCGGTTTGGAGAAGGAAAGTGAGGGTTTGATGTCGTGGATGGGGAGGATGGGGAGGTAGAAGAACAGGGCAAATAAAACGCAGATGCTCAGGCGTCATGCTGGAGGCCGCGGATTTCTATTCCAAAGTGGGGGGCAGAGGACAAGGGCATCAAGGCACAGACCAGTCCTATCCGGGAGAAGCTGACTCTGTCGTGAGATACTCCAGGAGAGTATCCATGAGACCAGGGGAAGGATGGGTTTGCAGTGCGGAAGGGAAGTCAGAAAGGAAAAGAGGTTATCCGTGCAGGGACTGCGGAGGACGGCCAGGATGGCTCTCAGAGAATGAGTCTAGTTAAGGGGAAACCGGAAAAAGAATGAGGAGCAGTGAAGACGAGCGAGGACAGCCTAGAGAGAGCGTGGCACAGAAGTTCAGGGGGAGAGGGCCGGAGACCCAGGCCTCTCCCCTAAGTCTCCCAGCACCCCCAACCCTTGCCCACTTCCCTAAGCCCCCACCCCTGCCTGTCTCCCAACTTCCTCCCGACCAGAAGCCCCCCCCATGAAGCGCCTGTCAAGTTTCAGGTAAGCTGGAGACCAGACCCCTAAATCTCTCCATCCTCCAAGCAGCAGGCAGCCTCCAGAATTCACCTTGACCAGCAGGCACCTGGTGGGAGCCCAGAGCCGACAGCGGGATGGGCCAGCTGCCTGGGAGGACACGGAGACCCGAGCTCTCCCTCCGCAGCTTCAGGAGCTGGGTGGCGAGAGGTCCTTCCACAGCGGGCACAATTGCAATTAACGGCTCACCGGAGGCCGAAGGCAATCACCCAACACAAAACAGCAACCACCGCTCTCCTTACCGACCGCTGAGCTGTTAATAAAGTTCCCATAAACCTCCATAACTGAATTACAAACTGGCTTCCAAGAAGGACAAAGACAGAAGGCAGTCAGCTGCTCTGCCTCTCTGCTGTCTCAGTTCTCTAAACCGATTCACACCTGTGGTAGGAAGGTCCAAGCGCTGGAGAGAGAAACCCAGAACGGGGCCACGATGCTTCCCACACGGCTCACCATGCTGCCGCTTCCCACAGCCAGCGACCTGCAAACAGGAGGAGCATTAACACGGCAGCCAGAAGGAAAGGAAAAAGGAAAAAAAGACTGCCTCCGGATTGTAAGCCGAGCAGAGCCCAGGTGCGCGGAGGGAGGCGCTGCCTGCAGCCCCCCGCCCACACTCCCAGAGGAGAAGAAACATCATAAAACTGAAGCTTGGCCTAATATACTGGAAAACAATTTTACCCTAAAGTTTCGAGAATCACTTGTGATTTACATCCACATTCTGTGAAACAGTGGTATATACAAGCATACAGATCATTCAAGACACTTCAAGACCCCCCCAAAAAAATAAAAATAAAAATAAGCCATTCTTCCTTTGCCTATGCAGATGAGGCCCTTATGTATATTCATCCAGTCTAACATTGAGACTAACACTGGTCTTCTAGAGCAGGAATCTGTTTGCGGTAGGGAACGGACGGGAATGGGGAAGAACAAAAGATTTGTATCCATGGAACATTCTATTTCAGCTTTTTAAAGTCAAGCAGTATCTTAACGTGCTTTTCTTTAAAAGTTATTTAAGGTAGCCTTATGAAACGTCTAGTAAGAAGGAAAGAATGTGCTTTTAATGTGAATAAGTATCTCTTATTAAGCCAAGGAGAGAGGCCCCACACAGGAGAAACCAAATCAGCCAAACACCTTGATCTTGGACCTCTAGCCTCCAGATATGTGAGAAAATAGATTTCTGCTGTTTCAGCCACACAACCTCTGGTGTTTTGTCATGGAAGCCCTAAAAATTAAGACAACAGACATCAGAACATCAAGAGACACATCCTCAGAAAATTAGCCTTGAGTCATATGGAGAGTCGGTGTAAGTCCATTGTACTTGAGATTATAGAGTGTGATTTCACAACAATTTCTTTAATATCCTTGCTAATGGGGTGTAGACAAAGCCTCAGATTCAGAATTAGCATCATCGTGTGACTTTCCCATATCTCAGAGTTCCAGCAACTGCTACAGAAAGAAAGCATTTCTACTCAAAGATCAAATATAATGAAACGACGTGTAAGCAAAACATAACAAGAAAACAAAAGAAAAATAAGTAACTCTTACCTTACCATGGTTGGATACAGCTCTGCCGTATAAAGGTAAATGAGGCCAAACGATGCCCCTATGGCAAATTTTCCAGCCATAGTCACCACCACAGTCCAAACAAGGTAATCCTGAAAAAACATATGTTAGCAAAATAGACCATCATGAGTAATATTTTTAAAAGAAAATACAAAGTCTTAATTATTATTTAAAACTTTCTAATTATCCAATATTGTTCAGAACAATGAAAAGTTTTATCTCTCTGTTTGAATTTATTTTGTAATCTCTACTCATAGTCTGTAAAAGCTTTTCATCTCCCTGAAATTTAGAGAAAAGTTTAATTGTGCCTCCCCTCCAGCCTTGGAGATGTCAAATGACCCAATTAGAAAAGCCATTTGCAGAGACGGCTACGAAGTGAGACACGCCCAGGTGGTGCTGGTTCCAGTAGTAACTGACCCACTCCTTCTGGAATTGATCCAAGCAGAATGAATCAAAGAGCCATAAAAACAAATTGGGCCCTTTGTGACAGTAATCCTCTAGCTTATAAACTATTTTCAGAAAATAACTGGAAAGTGGTAACTGGGCTATTAAAACAAATTCTTTTTTTTTTTTTTTTTTTGGTCCATGCACCTCAACAGTGACACTTCTCCGTGACTCCAACTCAGTGTCTGCTGTCCCTGATGTGCTCCATGTCCAGCTGTGGCTCACATAGGCCTCCCACATTCTATCTTTCCTCTCCTCTCCTGTCTGCCCGCTGGGTGTGGACACCCAGGGGACCCTGGAGTTCGTGTGTTGAGGATGGCAGCGCCTTTGTCAACCTGAACCCCTGAGTGACTCCGGGGAGCCAAACATCCCTCACCACTCCCACCACTACCAACCAGGTACACCCACATCAAACTTTCTACGAGCAAGAAATAAATATCTATTATGTGAAGTCCCCGGGACTCGATGATGCCTTTAATAAAGCAACTAATGTCACCTTGTCATCCTGATTCCTGCGTGTTTGTTGGATGAATCTGTTGACAGTATCTGTTGTAGACAGTGTTTGTTGAATGAATTAATGTAACTTGAAAAACACTGAAGGGTGTTGACACTGCCACTTGGGGAGAAACTTCATTAGAAGGAAGAAATTTGTGGTTAAGAGTTAGTGCCCTGTTTCTAGAAATCCCTGTCAGCTACTCTCCTGTTTTCCCCATTATCACAGGGGCTTAACCATTACAGAACTCAAAGGTTCTGGGGTTCCCCTAAATCTTTACCAGCTAGCTTCAGAGACAGCTGCCATCAACTCAACTAGTATATCTGTAAACCACTTTAGAAACAAACAAAAAGAGGTATGGTTGAAGTTCCCTCAAATTGGCAGCAAACCCCCTGGTCCTGAGTAGTTTTACTGCATTCATATTAGTTGTGTATCAATCAGCTGGAAATTTCAGTTACATAAAACATATGATTTGCCAACCTTGAGAATTAAATGAAGTATTACTATAAAAAGAAGTCACTGGTTAAAGTAAATTTCAAACAATATGCAAAACTTAACATGCCCTGCTCTAGATGGTGAGATACTATTACTGAATAATTATATAGTCCTAGAGAAAATTATAGAAAGTATTTTAAAGTATTGTTAGAGTGACCATATTTTCCAAATCAAGAATGAAAACACAGGTTCTGATAACAGTTTTGGGGGAGAAAGAGGAGGAGCACTTCTGGATGCAAGAGTTATATAGGAATGGGAAAGTGGGTTCAGTAGTTTATGGCAGTATTTCTCAGTAGGAAACTGCATTTTTAAGAACAAGCTTCTTGAGGGATTTAGGCATACTCGAAATTGGAAACAACTAATCTACTGCAATGAAAAACAAGACTATTTAAATGGAAACAGTCCTGAATATAAAACTCATTGTATCCTTCAGATGTCTCTATTGGATTCCTCCCTCCTTCAGGTTTCTAATCAACTGTCACCTTGTCTGAGAGGCACACCATCCTCGATCATCACCCTGGATAAAATAAACACATGTGTTACACACACACACAAACACACACACACACACACACACACACACACATTCTCCATCCGTCATCCTGTTTTGTTTTTCTTCATACTTATAGAAACTTGATTCACTGTGTGTCTTCAGCACTTAGGACAACACCTGGCACATAATAGATGCTGGATACATATTTGTTGAATGAATGAATGTTTAAGATAATAATAATCACTGGAAGACATGATCAACTTTCCTCATTCAGGACCATTGTGTTTACAAAATACAACATTGGTCATCCCTGGGAAGTGGGATTATGGGCTTTTTAAAAAAAGAAAACACTTTTTTCCTTAATTTTTTTATAATGAACATGTATTACTTACAACACAGGGAAAGAACAGTTTTTTAAAAAAATATTTTAAAATATTATGTATATACTCTGTCCATATGTCTGAATTGATCTTCATCCTTACTGTCATAGTATAACTAACTAACCATGCCTTCAATAAAACATAAAAATAACTCACCTTGGGGATCACCATAACCACACCACAGAGCAGTGCTCCTGAGATAAGGGAGAAGACCAGAACGTTTCTTCTCCCTATACTGTCCATCCCCCAGCATATGAAGACGTAGGCAGGAATTTCCACTGCACCTGTCATTGAGCAAAAGTGCTCTCTATAAGCCATGGCAACCAACCGCACAAGGGGACCTCGCCTTCTAACCCACCACCCAAAAGGAATGATCAGCCCTCTTCCCACTTGCAGGAGCCCCTAAGAGCTACCCAACGCCTGCCCTACAAGCCCGACCCCTTTTAAACTCCCTGGAGTGAAGAGGGGGGCGCTTGGGTGGCTCAGTCGTTAAGTGTCTGCCTTCAGCTCAGGTCATGATCCCAGGGTCCTGGGATCGAGCCCCGCATCGGGCTCCCTGCTCGGCGGGAAGCCTGCTTCTCCCTCTCCCACTCCCCCTGCTTGTGTTCCTGCTCTCTCTCTCTCTCTGTCAAATAAATAGATAAAATCTTAATAAATAAATAAACTCCCTGGAGTGAAGAGGATGTGTCCTGTTAAGTGCACTAGCGCTCCCTCAATCCACCTGACACTTAGCCCCTGTCCCGGGGATCTTGCCACCCACTAGGCTGTAAGCTCCCCAGTATACAACACAGGGCCCAGGGGACCGGCCTGTTGGATGAATACATGAGTAAATTCATAGATGACATTGATAAGTTCTGATCTTTGGTTTCTCGCGCTTGGCAGAACGAGGGAAAATTCTAGATCAGTAACTTCAAAGTTAGGAACTGAAGTAGAAAATTCACTGTCGGCTAAGTACACAAACTAATGATAATGCGTGATGGATTTTTAAATGTAAAACTAAACATCTAAAAATCTAACATGAATCCCCTACAAAACAGAAATTGCCTCGGGCCTCTTTTTACTGCCCCACCACAAAAGTAAAGAGCTGGATCTCCAAGTCCATAACTGACTTAAAAGCCCTTCTCTTGAAAAACCAAAGTGAGATCCAGAGCCAAAAAGCTCTATGTCTACCGGCCAGAATGAAACAGGAAGCAAGCAAGAAGATCTTTTGGCCAAACTGAGCAACCCCTACCATCTCCTTTAGAAAACTGCCATGGTCTACCAGGCCAGATCTTCCATGTAATTCAGTCTTGGAGTTCTCCCCTCCCTCTGCAGCTTGCCTAAATCTCAGGATGCGCCCCACCCCCCACCGCTCAGGAGAGACCTGCCCTTGTCCATGCAACTGCAGAACGTTGCAAGCACCTGGAGAGGCGGGTCTGCCTCTCTGTCTCCCACAGCTTCTGAACACATCATAGGGGTAGACACCTATACTCCCGGTGAACATTCTCAGTAGTACATCAGAAATGTACACAGCTGCTGTTGCTCAAAAAAAAAAAAAAAAAAAAGTGGCTCAGGCAAAGGCAAGAAAGAACATTCTGAGCCGCCTTTGAGAGCTGGTCTTGCTTGCTCCCTTTCATCGACATGGAAAATAGTCAGCTCTGAAGGAAATGCTCCCTTGCACGGACCCTGCAGTGGTAAGGTCCATGCTTTGGGGCCAGACCAGGGTGTACATCTCTTACTCTACTCTTTTTTTTTTTTAAGAGTTTATCAAGCACTTTTCAAGGCCCTGGGTCATGACCCTCAAAAGAATCGCAGGGGAGTAAGCCCAGCTTCATGTCCCCACTTTACAATGGAGAGTAAATGCTTTGAGCCGAATGAGTAAGGGACACCTCAGGGACTGGAAGCAAGATCTTCAAGAGGCAAGACTCCTTTCTTGAAGCCTCCCTCCCCCACTGCCTCCCTCCGTGCCTCAGGACTGGGTGCTGGGCCACCAACCAACTTCCTGGGGTCTAGCCAAGCAGGGCAACCACTGTGAAATGGCTGTAGAGACATTTAAAGTATCCTACACTGGTTTTTCTTGAGTTGTCGCTTCAGGATACTGATACCCCATCTAATTTTTGGTGTGACTGTGTCTGGGATAGAAATGGTGCAAGCAATGAGGCCCGCACCTCTTTGGATTCGGACAGTCTGCGATTACTTTCTTCACTCTATAATACAGAATCTCCTCAATCACCCAGACCCACTTCCGCTCCTATCCCCACATAACCCCAAGGGTATGTCTTGAAGCTACTGAAGCAGTTATCACTTGCAAGCGGCACAAAACCTGGGCTGAAATCCCCACCAGCCCCAACCCGTCTCAAGAGAGAAAAACTCGTTCCAAAATGTCACAGCATAGAAATGTTGACTGGAAGCACCTATCAGCAAGAGGACTTCTGGGAAGGGGAATAACATGAAAAATCCAAGACAGTAGAGAATAGAAAACCATGTATATTTATCTTAGACACATTTTTATATTTATGAGATGTCCCAGTTTCTTGAGAATTTATATCTTCATTAAAACAAAGAAACTATGTCATAAAGATCTAAGACTCCAGCTTCCCGAAGCTTCCCCACGTCACACCCCACCCTACTCGGTCCTCCCGTCACCTCCTGCTCTGTTCTAGGAAGACCACATCATTTCTCAAACTGACATCTAGAATGGGTTTGAAGCCAAGATGGACTCTGCAAACTTGTTGGTTCGCCCAAAAAGAGAATAACGGGGTTTTATTTTTTCTTAAAATGACTTCTCTGGTAATTCCTGCTGAGCTATAATAAACAAAAACAGATGTGACATCAGAGCACTTTAATGAGAAGGGATGCTATCTATGTGTAAAAATGTAAGAGCAAGATTTTTCTGAGGATAATAGCAAATGCAGTCAGCCTTCGTGAAAATGACCAGGAGTTAAGACTAGATGGACAGATATCGATTTCTAATATTTCTCTCATGTTTGGTGTGAATTTGGTTGGCCCTCAGAGTCACGCCTCAAGACGTCACAGCAGTATCTGGGGCCATTTTAACCTGCCACTAAAGTGAAAGAAGCACAACAATGAAATTATAGTTGCATGGATTTAAGTGATCTTACTGACTGCAATTTCTAAGTTAGGGGCTTTTGAAGGTAGAAAGATACCAGAAGATCTCCAAGACATATTAAATTTTAAAAGGAAAGCCACTTACAAAGAACAATAGTTACCTACAAAGAGAATGATCTCTTCCTCTGCGCAAATGTATGAAAATGCATAGAAAGAGATCTAAAAAGGGACAAGCCAGATATTAGAGACATCACCTCTCAAAGAGAGTTCTGAGATGGGGGTGGGCCTCCAGGAAGGAAGCAAGCAAGGAGCAGAGGCAGAAAAGGAAGGAGGAACTAAATTCTTTTGACCGTTGGCATTGTTTTAAAAGAAAATATATACCTGTGTTCCAGCATAATAACACTAAAAGAGACCATAATAATATAGTTGGCAGTATTGTTCCTGGTAGAGAAAAGACAATAAAAACACAAGAAAAACAAGGTGGAAACATCACTTCATTGCTACGCTTAAATATAATTTAACTACTTACCCATGAGGAAGAGGTTTAAATATTCATTGCCTCCTAAATTAACAGAATTCAAGGAGAAGAAGTAGAATCCCAAACACCCAGTGAACCAAATCAGCCAAACAATAAGTGTCCTTGTTCCAACATTCCAGTCATAAAACAGATCTAATAGGTTGTGCTTCTTAACTTCAAAGGGTTCATTACCAACAGGACCATTTAGATCCAGTGACAAAAGTTCTGACAGTTTACAGGAGCTTGCCCTATTCCACTTGGCCATCATATCAACTACTCTCTGTGCTTCTTCATATCTTCCCTCTGAGAGAAGCCAAAAAGGTGTCTCTGGGAGTATCCAACAGCACACGACAAAGGGGACAGTCACTGTGGAGAGGACTATCTGATAGGTCCACCAGGTCCTGACAAAGTAGCCTGTCAAAGCCACCACCATTGTTCCAATGGCAAAAAAGGAATGCATCTGGATGCATGCCCACGTCCGAGACTTCATGCCAATAAATTCCGTCACATAGACAAACACCACCACGAGATAGCCACTTCCAGACTGAAAAACAAAGCAGGGAGGGTGGTCCAGATTTAAGGTCACATTTACAACTGCTCAGGGGTCTGAACTCTCTGCATATCACACATAGGCAAGAAAGAAAATGACAAAAATTGTTTTCTGAAACCCTTACCACATTTCGAAAATGGCATTTAATCCAATCCATCCCTCTTCTTTAAATGGTTCTTTTCATCCTTCCCCCACCCTCGCCACCCCGAATGGCCAAACTCGAGAGGCTATGTATGATATAGATGAGAGGACATGTATGATACATGTTAAGCACTGCCTTTTGCTTCAGGTAAGGATTCCTTTGTAGTGTGCCTTTATTTCTCAGTTAATGTAACTGTAAACGTGCATACCAATTACTCTATAGATAAGAGGTCCTTATTATTAAATCCTAAATTGTTAAATGGGGATAAAAAGTTATGATATCTAATGTGAAGAAAAAGATCTGATTGAAACTTTATTTTAACAAGCAACAAAACAGAAAATAAACAAACTGGTCTTCATGAAAATTAGAAACTTCTGTGCATCAAAGAAGACTCCCAACAGAGTGAAAAGGCAACTTATGGAATGACATATTTACAAATAGTATATCTGATAAGAAATTAATATCCAGCATATATAGAACACTCCTGAAACTCAACAAAGCAAACAATCCAATTCAAAATGAGCAAAGAATTTGGATTTTTCCAAAAAAATATACGAATGGCCAATAAGCACACAAAAAGATACTCAACATCACTAACCATTAGGGAAATGCAAATCAAAACCACGTTGAGATACCACCTCATAGCCATTAGGATGGCTACTCTAAAAAAAAACAAAAACAAAAACAAAACAGAAAATAACAAGTGTTGACAAGGATATGGAGAAACTGGAACTCTTGTGCACTATTGGTGGGAATATAAAATGATACAGCTGTTATGGGAAACAGCACGGGGATTCCCCCAAAAAACTAAAAATTGAATTACCGTAAGATTCAGCAGTCCCACTTTGGATATATACCCAAAATAATTGAAAGCGAGGCCTCAAAGAAATACTTGTACACCCACGTTTGTAACAGCACTATTCACAGTGGCTAAAATGTGGAAGCAACAGAAGCATCCACTGACAGATGGATATACAAGCAAAATGTGGTCTATCCAGAAAATGGACTATTATTCAGCCTTAAAAAGAAAGGAAATTCTGACACATGCTACAACATGCATGAACTTTAAGGACATTATACTAAGTGAAATAAGCCAATCACAAAAAGATAAAATGCTGTATGATTCCACTTATATGAGTTACATAGTGTAGTGGAAATCATAGAGATAGAATGTAGAATATGGTTGCTAGGGACTGAGGGGAGGAGGAAATGAGAGTGTTTAATGGGTATAGAGTTTCAGTTTTGCAAAATTAAAAGAGTTCTAATTAAAAGAGATGGATAGTGACTATGGTTGCACAACAAAATGAATGTACTTAATATCACTGAAATGTATACTTAAAAATGGTTAAGATGGTAAATTTTATGTTATGTGTATTTTACCACAATTTTAAAAATTGGGGAAAGTAACTTTTTATTTTGAAAATAAGCTTATCTTTAACAAAATGTAGACTATAATAGCAATATGTGATCATTTTTGGAATAAACAAAGAATGAATCAAATGTTGGATTTTTTTGTGGGGGCGGATGATGAAAGGATTAGAATTTTTCCTACAAGAGTACTTCACATTTGACTTCTGTAACACAAACCATGAAGTTAATTTTTGCAAAATTATTCAAGAGCCAAAGGCCTCTCTTAATCCTTTGATATTCAAATCATACTCTTTTGAAGGCTCATCATGTCATTATCCTTGTGGATGTTCATTTCTTCAAAAGTTAGCTGGTCTAGCTCTACCACAGCCCAACTGGCCAAGGGATTTGGGTAGGATCATTTAGTTTTCCCCATTGCTCTCAAAGACTTTTTGTAATCAAATATCTTTGGTAAGACCTTAATTTCTCCTTGCATCAGAGAGTCAGGAAGAGGCTAACCTACAGCGATTTCCTGTGACAGAGAGCAAGACACGAGTCGTAAACAGGGATGTGGGTGGTGAGGCCTCTACTGCATTAATGTTCAGTTTAATATTTTTGTGACAACAGCTTTCATTTCTCCATACAACCTTATAATTGCAAGACTCAGATAATGAACCCTGCTAAATGAGGACTCCCACACCCAAGAATCTAGTTGTTTGGTAATGTTTACTGTTGTTACAGTACACAAAGATGGTGAGGACCGCCAAATACTACAGATTTCCCGCATTAAGTTAAGCAGTAACATCAGTCCCTGGCAGGTTTGTTGTTCTTTTTTTTCATAGTAATCCTGAGCGCACTCCCACTTCCTATTGGTTACTTCTGTCACTGGGTTCAGTCAAGCTGTACACAACTCTGTAATTCCAAAACGCTCCTTGGATTCATTCACACCTGTCACCTCCACTGATAACACATCTCCCCTGACCCCACCCCCACATAGCAGCCAGAACAGCCACTTCACCCCTGCCGGAACCCCTCCAGGACATTCCCATTGCCTCTAGGAAATCAAGCAAACTCTTGATCATCCTCCAAGGCCCTGGCTAATCATCCCCATTCCTTCAGCCTCATCAAGGTGTTTTACCTCCGCTCTATTCTGCAGATATCCGGACCTTCAGTTCCTTCTCTCTCTCTCTCTTTTTTTTTTTTTTAAAGATTAGAGAGATAGTGAGAGAGGGAACACAAGCAGGGGGAGTGGGAGAGGGAGAAGCAGGCTTCCCATGGAGTAGGGAGCCTGATGTGGGGATCATGACCTGAGCCAAAGGCAGACGCTTAACAACTGAGCCACCCAGGCGCCCCTCAATTCCTTCTCATCTTAGGGCCTTCTTAGTTGCTGTCTCTAGCTGGAACATTCTTCTCTTACCCATCCCTCACCAAAAGCCCCTAACTCTCCAGACTCTCCACCCTCCCAACTTAAGATTCCCCACCCCCACTCTCACGCCTCCATTGTCAACATTTTATTTTCCAAAATGGCCCATCAATGTCTTGCCTTCCCACTACACTGTAGGGTTATTGAAACAGTCTGGTCTGGTTTACTTAGCATTACACTCTGTGGGCAGATTCTAATAAATGTGTTGAGTAAATGAGTCTGCCTGCATCTTCCCTACTCAGAACTCAACCCCAACTACATTTCTCATGAAAATCAAAGGCAGAAAATTAAGGCCACATTTACAAATGTATTCAATGAGTGGCTGTCTCATTTTCTCAGTTCTGGAAATAAACACATGGTATTTGCAAGACAGAAACAGATATTTTCAGAATGCATCCTCTTAAGCCTTCCAAAAGAGGACCTTCGCATTCTCTCCATCCCTGTGCCTCTGTTGAACCATCATTCCCACCAAGGTCTCATCAGATCTCATTCTGCAGTCACAGAGCCATTTCCTCTCATTCTGTCCTCAGTGGACACAGACTGCTGCTTGTTATCTTTTGTATTAAGAACTCTTTACCTTCCTAAATATATAAAATTACTTTTTTTTAAAGGGGCTACACCTCCAATGGTCCCAAATTTTTTTCTTTTTATGCATCGTCCCCATCCCTGGCCATCCGCGTGGCTTCCTAGGAACTCTGTCCAGCCATCAGTGAGGACTCCAAAACTGAACCCACCAGCCTGCTCTGTGAGGGCTGGGACCTCTCCTGAGATTGCAGTCCTTGGCTCTCCCCGGAATCTTGGCTCATACCTACGTCCCGGTGAATGGGGATGCATACCCATCCCTGAGTTTAGCGAGGTCACAAGTTCCTCCCACAGACAGAAACTTCACTCCACTATCCTTGACCGGTGACCTCCAACAGGATTCACTGCTGCTGTCATTTGGCAGCGTGGACTCTGTCCCCAAGTGTGGGGACACTTCGTCACTGGCTGGTCCACTTACAATGACAGTCCCCACCGGAAGGACGGCCTATGTCGTGTCAGGTGCCCTGCCGTGCATGTTAACTTTAATCTCACGGTCTCCTGATAAGAACCCAGTGAAGCAAGTAGTATTTTCTACAGTTTACAGCTTAGAAACTAAGGCTTGAAGAGAACACCGTGTTTGCCCAAGGCCACACAGTGAAAAAGCCAAAATATGACAAGGCTGGTATTCAAACTCATGCCCTTTTCCCTCTATTTCCTTGTTCCTCGCAACAGAAAAGCCCCATGCTTTCTTGTTTTCATTCCTACTGCACAGTATGCAAACGACTTCCTTACCAACACACCTATGGCTCGTGCATACAGGGCCTGACTCGGCCGCTAGAATTGCTCAGAAATGAAATCATGCCTTAGTAATTGTGGAATGTGGACCACGTGCCAAGCATGGAGTCAAACAAGAAGTCTCTGCCTAGTAAGCAACCATTTTTCATGTTAATGAGTTTCATTGAAAACACAGGGCACTGCTTTTCCACAGAAAGACTTCTCAGGGGCACGAACAAAGATGGCCCTCTCTCGCCACATTCGAAATGACCCAAACTAAGACAGGCTCGATATGAAAACACTGCAGGAGAATTAATGAGGTTTTTCTAAAAAAAGCACACACACAACTCACCATGGCTAGGAGAAAGCGTGCGATCATGAAGCTGTAATAATCAGATGAGAAAGCCACTGCTATGCCAAAGAAAAATATGCCAGTGCTTGTGGACCACAAGACGAGCCGTCTTCCTAGCCTGAAAAATAAGAATGGCCCAGCGGGCCAAGCAAAGTAGTGTTATAACAGTTGAAGCATCCACTCCAATTCACGAAAGATGAGTACTACCTATGTATTTAATAGCTTATGTATTGATTGTGCTATTCATTCATTTATTGGGGGGAAGTTATGAGTTAACACATGCAAGAGGCCAGTCTTTTGGTGGAGAGGCCTCTACCTAAGCCACTAATAGACATACATGATCACCCTGGGTGATCCCCCGGAGGACTTCCCAACCCAGGACTGGTGAGGGAGAAGAGGGGGGATATGTGTCCATCGTTCCCTCTCTGTCTCTCCTGCCTTCATTTGGGCCTTCACCATTTCCTACATCTCTCATCCCAACGGCCTCCCAACCAGCCCTCCTCATGTCGCACCAGTGCAGCCCCCTCCCACACTTCCCAGAAATAAAAACAATCCCAGGTGTAGTTTTGCTTCACTTCTTTTATCCAGCCTATGCTTCTGCCAAATGGGCCTCCCCACAATTCCCTGAACGTGCCAGGCTCTCTCGTGACAGGAAATTGTTCCTTCCCCCTTAGAAAGCCTTCCCTAGTGAGCATTTAAAACCCAGGTCAAATGTGCAGCCTATTCTGACCATCCTCTGGGGTCTTGAGGCAGAAATGAAGAGACAATGCAATGTAGTAATCAGGTGTTCAGGCCTGGGTTCAAGTCCCAGCTCCACTGCTTACTCTCCAGATAAACTTTCTGTGCCTCCTTTTCTGCACCGGTACTTAAAATAGGGCCAATAGTGCCTACCTCCTAGATTTCTTTAAATAATTAAAAGAGATAATACACAAGACATTTAAAACAGTACCTGGTGCATAGTAAATGGTGCATAAATGTGAGTTATTATTTTAAAAGCATTTCTCACATTTCATTGAAATTATCTATTTAAAAGTCTTTCTCCTCCATTGTTAGCTCCATAAAGATGGGGTCAGGTCTTATTTCTTTGCTTTTTTATTATGATATATCATACATACATAAGAATGCATAAAAATACATATGTATTTGGAGAATAATAAAGACTCAAACATCTATGAAGTCACAACCCAAAGTAAGAAAGAGATCCATTGCCACCCTCCCAATAGCTTCTCACACCTCCCTTCGTGATCCCAAACCCCAAACTCCTTGCCCCCTTTTTGGAGAGGCCATTATCCTAATTTTGGCAACCATCAATTCCTTACTTTTCATTCCATTTTACCACATTTATAGGCAGCCCTAAACAAGATAGGTTACTTTTGCTATTTTTTTAACTTTCTATCATCAAACAGTACTGTATGTATTATTCTGTGTCTTGCTTCTTTCACTCAATCCTATTTTTGGAGATTCATCTCTGTTGTTTGTGTAGCTATGAATCATTCATTGCATGGCCGCACATCCCACAGCAAGAAATATTGCAATATGTGTGTCTACAATATGGCTGAAGTACATTTGGGTTGCTTGCATGGCCAGGCTGGTAGCAACAATGCTATAGGAGCCTTTTGATGCAAATACCCATGTGGACACGTGCAAGGGCATCTCCAGGGTCCAAGCCCCAGGACATGTGAGCTGTGCCCATCACCAACTTTTCTATATAATGAGAAACCATTCTTCAAAGTTTTCCTGATTTGCATTCTCAATTTGCATTCACACCAGCAGGGCGAGAGATCCTATTACCCCATATCCTCACCAACATGTGGCATTACAAGACTTTCTACTTTTGACAACTGGTCAAAAATAAATGGTATGGTTATAGATCATTGACACCCTTTCCATCTTTCCATTAGCCATTTGGATTTTCTCTTTTATGAAGTGACTTCAAATCTTTTTCCCAATTTTCTATTGGGTTGTCTTTTTCCTATTGATATAAAAGTCCTTTAAGTAATCTGGATTCTAATCTTTTAGTTATATGTAAAGCAAATATTCTGTCTCTCTTTTTCTCTCCTGCTTGTCTTTCTTCTCTTAATGGTGTCTTTTCATGGACATCAATTCTAGTGAAGTCAAATTTATCCATTTTTTCCTTCATGGTTAGTGCTTTTTGTGTCTTAAAAAGGATCTTCCCTTCCTTCAATTAGGCTCTGAAAATATTCTCCCCTATTATCTTTCTAAAGTTATATAGATTTCCTTTCATGTATGTACCTTTAATCCTTCTGATGTTTGTACTATAAGGTGTGAGGAAGGGACACCAGTTGTATTTTCTTCTGTACAGCTCTACAAGTGTCCCAGCACCACTTATTAATCCTTTTCCTGCTGATGTTCGATGCCTTATTTGTTCCATAGTTATATCTATAATTGAACTACTCTCTTTCAGGGTCCCCTAAGGAACTATCGACTGTTTGTCTAATGATACATCTATTTATCTTAATGATTTGATTCTTGAAGTTTGTCATTTTCTCTGTAAAGTGCTTATACACTTTTTGATTGATTTATCCATACATATTTTATATTTTTAGGTTTTTGCAATGGCATTTTTTAAACTTTTTTTTAATTGAAGTATAGTTGACATCTGTTACATTAGTTTCAAGTGTACAACACAGTGATTCAACAACTCTATACATTATGCTATGCTCACCACAAGTGTAGCTACCATCTGTCCCACACAACATTATTACAATAACATTAACTATATTCCCTGTGCGGTACCTTTTATCCCCATGACTTATTCATTTCATAACTGGAAACTTGTATCTCCCATTCCCCTTCATTCTTTTCACCCACCCCCCAACCATCTCCCCTCTGGCAACCATCAGTTTGTTTTCTGTATTTATTGGTCTAGTCCTGTTTTTTGTTTATTTGTTTGTTCATCTGTTTTGTTTTTTAGATTCCACATATAAGTGAAATCATATGGTATTTGTTGACTTTCTGTGACTTATGTCACTTAGCACAATACCCTCCAGGTCCATCCATGTTGTTGCAAATGGCAAGTTCTTGTTCTTTTTCATGGCTGGAATATTACTCAGCCATATAATACTATATATATCATATATATAATATACCATATTATACATTATATTATAATTTATTAATATTATTTTATTAATATTTATTCTTTTATTCTGTTATTATTATATAATGTTTGCGTGTTTATATTTTATTTGTTTTTGTTTTTATTTATATTACATATTTTATATAATTATATAATTATTAATATTATGTTGTTATATATTTTAACATATTATTGTATTTTATTACAATTTATTAATATATAATAAATAACATTTTATATGTAATATGTCAATGATAATAAATAAAATAGATTATATTAATATATATTTATATATCACAATTTCTTTATTCATTCATCTATCAGTGGACACTTAGGCTGTTTCCATATCTTGACTATTGGAAATAATGCTACAATAAACATAGAAATGCATATATCTTTTCCAATTAGTGTTTTCATTTTCTTTGGGTAAATACTCAGTAATGGAATTACTGGATCATGTGGTATTCCTATTTTTAATTTTTTGAGGAACTTCCATCTATTTTTCCACAGTGACTGTACCAATTTACATTCCCACTAACAGTGCACAAGGGTGCCTTTTTCTCTACATCTTCACCAATACTTGTTATTTCTTGTCTTCTTTTTTTTTTATTTTAGCCATTCTGACACGGCTAAGGTGATATCTCATTGTGGTTTTGATTTGCATTTAGTGATGTTGAGCATCTTCTCATGTGTCTGTTGGCCATCTGCATGTCTTCTTTGGGAAAATGTCTACTCATGTCTTCTGCCCATTTTTTTAATCAGATTGTTTTTTTCATGTTGAGTTGTATTAAGTTCTTTATAGCTTTTGAATACTAACCCCTTATATATATATCATTTGTGAATATCTTCTCCCATTCAATAGACTGCCTTTTCGTTCTGTTCATGGTTTCCTTCACTGTGCAAAAGCTTTTTATTTGGGGGCAGCCCTAATAATTTATTTTTGCTTTTGCTTCCCTTGTCTGAGGAGACATCTCTAGAAAAATGTTGCTAAGGCCAATGTCAAAGAGATTACTGCCTATGTTTTCTTCTGTGCGTTTCATGGTTTCAGGTCTCATATTTATTTTTTTTTAAGATTTCATTTATTTATTTGACAGAGAGAGACACAGCAAGAGAGGGAACACAAGCAGGGGGAGTGGGAGAGGGAGAAACAGGCTTCCCACCCAGCAGGGAGCCCGATGCGGGGCTCGATCCCAGGACCCTGGGATCATGACCTGAGCCGAAGGCAGACGCTCAACGACTGAGCCACCCAGGGGCCCTTCAGGTCTCATATTTAGGTTTTGATCCATTTTGAGTTTGTTTTTGTGTATGATGTAGGAAAGTGGTCCAGTTCCATTCTTTCACATGTAGCTGTCCAGTTTTCCCAGCACAATTTATTGAAGAGACTGTCTTTTCCCCATGATATATTCTTGCCTCCTTTGTTATAGATTAATTGACTATATAAGTGTGACTTTATTTCTGGATTCTGCAATGGCACTTTTTAATTTTTATATTTACTACTAGTAGATATAAAATAATTAAATTTATATGTATTGATAACATATCTAGCAACCTCATTACATGTAAGTTCATTAATTCTAACAATTCATCTGCTGGATTTTCTTCAGACAGAATTGTAATGGCTAAAAATAATGACTTTTTTTCTTCTTTCTGCTTATGCATTTCTCCCTCCCTCTGTTTCTCCCTCTCTTTTCTTTCTCTGTTTTGCTTTATAGTACTAGAATCTCCAGTACAAAACTAAGCAGAAGCAGTGTGTCATACATCTTTGTATATTCCTGATTCTAAAGGAAAAGCTTTTGACATTTCAGTTTAGATGTTCATAGTAGATCTTTTTGTAGATACCTGTTAACAGGTTAAGGACATTCTTCTACTTTTAGTTTCTGTCATGAATGAATTTTGAAATTTATCAAATGTTTTTCCTATATTTATTGAGTTGCTAATATGAGTTTTGTCCTCTAATCTGTTAATGTGGTAAATTCCATTGATTAGTTTCTAATATTAACAGTATTTCAGACCTTACACCTCTGCCTTCATGAATTTTAATCTCTCATATTTTCCATCTGTCTCTCTGATGTTTATTATTGGTAAGTTTTTCTGAGCTCTCATGCATTTTACTCATTCTTTCTTTACTTTTATATAATAGGTTGTTAAAACTACCCAGGAATTTGTCAGTCACTTATTTTGGTTTGTGTTTCTAGATGTTCTGGGCAGTTATTCCTCAATTTTATGTCATTTTAAAATATAATTTCCAGGGGCGCCTGGGTGGCTCAGTCGTTAAGCATCTGCCTTCAGCTCAGGTCATGATCCCAGGGTCCTGGGATCGAGCCCCGCATTGGGCTCCTTGGTCCACAGGAAGCCTGCTTCTCCCTCTCCCACTCCCCCTGCTTGTGTTCCCTCTCTTGCTCTGTCTCTCTCTGTCAAATAAATAAATAAAATCTTTAAAAAAAAAATTTCTAGGAGATGCCTGGTTGGCTCAGTTGGTAGAGCATGTGACTCTTGATCTTGGGGTCATGAGTTCAAGCCCCATGTTGGGCGTAGCAAAGAAAGGAAGGAAGGAAGGAAGGAAGGAAGGAAGGAAGGAAGGAAGGAAG